GCTGAAATTCATTCAGCATTTACTCTGCAGGGAACAAGGAAATAAGAAAAAAAATCCACGAAGAGTCCATAAAATGCAAGAGATAAGGGCTTGGACTTCTCTTTCTCTATATAACAATACAGATACTTTGTAGAAAATACAAAAAATCTAGATATGCAAAAGAACACAACTTCTACTCTTAGTCTCATCACCCAAAGATAACCATTGTCATAAGGTTGGATATATGCTTTTTGGTTTTATATATGGGAAAGAGAAAGAGAGGAGAGCTATTTTGTAATCCATGTGAGTTCTTTGTTATTTTAAACTCTGGCACTTCTTTTCAGCCCCTCCGTTGAGAGGAGAGGCTGCCAAGAAGTCAGAGCAGTAGAACCTAAGACATGAGAATAATTTTTAAAGGCAAAGAGGTAGGCAGCTGATGAAGAATGTATCTACAAGTAGATAATGAGAGTTTTAATATCTGGGAAGACAATATCAATACCTGTTGTATGAGGGAAGAAATGAAGAACAAAACGATGAGAGAGGGCTAAAGCAATTCTTCTTCAACCAAACCACCTGTCATGATGGATCAGTTTTAAATTTCTAATCCATCCTAAACTGATGCTTTTGTGAAATATAAAAAACATATATTATGCATTTGGATGTCACAGCAATTTCAAATTGCTATAAATTTTACTCTAAACTTCTGTATTCATTGCGGACTTATAATAAATAATTTGAAAGCCAGAATATGTCCATGGACCCCATATTAGGCAGGATTGTACTAAAATACTTGTCTTGTTGCAGCGACAACTTATATATCAATAGGGATAAAGACAGTGGTATGCTAGTAAACGCTTAACAACTGGTTCCGGGCGAGGAAAAAGAAAGCCATGATTTGTAGCATTTGACAGTTTCCATGTTGTAAGTACTCCCATCATGACAGATTTCAAACTCCTAAGGTGAAGCAAATGAATGCAAAGTGAGAACAGATGTGCACAAGTTGTCTGCAGCACACCACTGCAGAAAGAAACCTATGAATGGGTTTAACTTAACGCAACCATCATAACAAAAATAGAATATATAACCTTTAAACCAGCAGAGGAAAACTTACCCAATCCAATGGAAAGCAGAAAAGGAAGTTAACAAGAAACATCCTTTCTTTGACTGGAGTAGTTCTCAAGTTATACAACCTGTCTCTCAAGACAGAAGTCAGAACTCACTTTCCCAGTTTCCTCTGCAGCTTAGGTTCAGACATGTGACCTAGGCTCAGCCAATCAGATGGCTCCCCTCTAGACTTCTATCCAGAAGAGAGCATCCTGAGGAAGCTTAGTATAAACCCAGGGCAACAAAGATGTCTAGATCTTGGCAAGGGGCAGCGAGGAGAAACTAGCACCAGTACCAGACCTCATCAGTGAGAGCTGTAGTCTGGTGAGTGATGACATCACTGGAGCAGTCCCCAAGGTGTAGTTTGGGGACTGACGGGCTGACTCTCCTGGAAAGTCTGTGAGATTTCTGATAGCCTTAATAGATTACCTTTTCTGCTTAAACTTTTGGCACTAGATTCTGTTGTTTGCAACAAAGAACAATGATATAGCACTTGCACCTCATTTAAAAAATAACATCTTTATTGAGATATAATTCACATATCATATGACTTACGTATTTTACATATTACATAAAGTGTATAATTCAGTGATTTTTGGTATATTCATAAAGTTATGCAACCATTCATAGTCAATTTTATATTTTCATCACTCCAAAAATAAACTGCATTACCATTAGTAGTTATCGCCGATTTCCCCTCAACATCCTGTCTCCCTGTAACCCTCAAGCCTTAGGCAACCACTATAATCTACTCTCTGTGTTTGCCTATTCTGGACATTTCTTATAAATGAGATCATACATTACATAATCTTTTGTGACTGGCTTTTTCACTTAGTTTCAAGATGTTTTCATGTTGTTGTATGTTTTAGTATATCATCCCTTTTTATTGCTGAATAATATTCCATTGTATAAATATACCTTATTTTATTTATCTATCTCTTAGTTGATAGACATTTGGCTTGTTTCTACTACCATGAATAATGCTGCTACAAACATATGTGTACAAGATTTTTTTGGTGTGTGTGTGTATACATATGTTTTCATCTTTTCTTGGGTACACATCCAGGAGTAGAATTGCCGGGTCATACAAAAACTTTCTGTTTAACCTTGTGAGGAAGTGCTAGATTGTTTTTCAAGGCAGCTGCACCATTTTACAATTCCTCAGTAGCATATGAGAGTTCCAATTTCCCTATCTCTTTGCCAGCACTTGTTATTATCTGTCTTTTTTATTATAACCATCCTACCGGGTACATAGGGGTATCTCATTGTAGTTTTAAGCTGTGTTTTTCTGATGGCTAATGACGTTGAGCATCTTTTTATGTGGTTATTGGCCATTTGTATATATTCTTTGGAGAAATGTCTATTCAGCCCCTTAATCCATTTTAAATTAGGTTATTCATCTTTTATTATTAAGTTCTAAGTTTCTTTATATATTCTAAATATAAATCCCTCATCAGATATATGGTTTGCAAATATTTTTACCCATTCTGTGGCTGTCTTCTTACTTTTTTTTTGATGTACATCTTATTTTTTATTTACAAAACAGAGATATTTAAGTCTTGAGTCTGGCAGAATCACAAACACAGATGGTTTGTGAGTACTTAGAAAATATTAAAGCGATCACTTGGAGCTAATATGAGTTCACTGAGAATAAGAACTAACGTCCTTCTATTTTGCTCTTATACCTTTACTTTCCTCCTGTTGCCTTTTTTCTTATTAAAAATTCTACCTCTTGCTATTAGCATTTCCTCCTATAAGGAAGCAGATTTCAACTCTCTATAAGCCACAATATTCTATAGTAAAGAATTATCTTCTCAGGTGGTGAGCTTCTAATCACTGCAAAATCCAGATCAGGCAATGGGACTGACCACCTGCTAATAATGTTGCAGAGGAAACACTTGAATTGAATTACATGGTTTCTAAGATCCTCTTCTAATTTAAGATTCCACTCATTTATTCACTCATTTCTACATCTATGCATTTATTCATTCTTTGTTTAAGAGAAAATTTTAAAAAATAAAGAAATAAAAAAAGAGAAAATTTAAGAGTCTTATAGGAATTCAAAAATACCACAAGTGAACACAAATTAGAGGAAGTGAGAAAGAGGGAAAAATAAGCCATATTAGAGATGTCAAGTTCAGGAGGCAAATATAAAAGGGCTGTCTTTCCGACTTACATGTTGTTAGGTATAAAGACACACATTTGGCTTCCAGTTTTCAGCAGTCAAGGCCGAGAGGGAGACTTGATCAGCTACACAATTTACAGTGTCTATTAGGTGCAATTCTTCATTCTAAGACCAGAAAGTATTGTCACCTGATCCCAGCCCCACAAAGGTCGCTCCTTTGTAGGACAATATTTCCTTTTCCAGTTCCCCATTGCTCCTTTAATCACTTTGCTAACTGCCTTCTCTTTCACACTGGATGACATTTAAGAATGCTTATGGCACTGAAGCTAAGAGCTATTGCCCCACAAACGAAAATAAGAAAAACACATTTTTTCCTTAGTGTCCCAATGCTTGAATCCTCCTTGAATTAGCTCTTATAATGATGTGTTTTGAATAATAACCACGAATATCATTTATTGAACATCCAGACACTTTACCATCTTTACCTCTAGTCTACACAATAACCCTGAATGAGATACAGACATACTTTGTTTTATTGCATTTTTGCTTTATTGAGCTTCACGGATATTGTGGTTTTTACAAACTGAAAGCAAGACCCTCCTCCAGCAAAAAGACTATGATTCACTTTATCTTGTTACTCGCTTAATTGTGATGGTCTAGAACCGAAACTGCAATATCTCTGAGATATGCCTATAGCATTTTCCTATTTTATAGATGGAGAAACAGACTCAGGGGAAATGGTCTGTTCAAGGTCAGAGAGCTGGTAAGTAGCAGAGCCAGGATTGTGAGGGGATGTGGGGTGGGGTATACAAGGGGTGTGGGTGTGACGCAGATGTGCGTACCGTATAGAGGAAAGAGAAAAGAAAAAAAGAAAGGAGATAAAGACAAAGAGGGCGAATTCCAGAACGTGTGTCAGCAGAAGTAAGCTTAAGAATACAAGAGCAGGACTGACTGAGGCCGACAGAGAACATGCTGGAATGTGTGTGAAGGAGGAGGGAGAATAAAGCAGAGGTAGGAGAACTCTTGACAGGAGAGGTATGATTTAAGAGAGCAAATCCTCCTCCTTTATTAGAGTGGCCGTCAGTCTGCCCTTCCAGCTATCTGTTGGTACTGGCCATGTCGTATAGGCTGTAGGAATTTCAGATGTCTAGAGATCATGGTCCCACCCACCTGGAGCTTGCAAGGAGATGGGGAGGCAACAGGAGAAAGACCTCGGAGCCCCAGGGCAGCAGGAAAAGTCAGAACTAGTAATGGCTGTGGGAAGAAAATTGTTATATGTTAGTTTGCTGGGTGGGAGGTGGGGAGGGAAGAGGACTCTAGTCCAGCACTGAGTTTAACAAGAGAGACTGTTAAATAAATTATAATAGTCTGCCATATAATGTACAGCCAGGAAGAATGATGCAGATGTGTATTGATTGACATGGAAAGAGATCCGCAATTTCATATGAAGCAGGGAAAAACAGGTTGTGAAACAGTACATACGATATGATGCAATTTTATTTTTAAAATTATATATTTAGATATATTAAAAACATCTGAAAGGGCATACAAAAAACTTGAAACAGTGATTACTTTTGGATGGAAGGATCTTGATTTTCTTATTTCCTTCATTTTTTTTCTCAGTGAGCATGTATTTCTTTTACAATCAGAAAAATAGAAAAAAAGAATGTGTCTGAAAAAGAGAATGAGAGGATGTAAATCAGATAAGAGTGAGTGCCCGTTTATCAGTTCCATCTTGGACGGTACAAAAGGCTCTGCTTGGAAGCCCAGAACTAACCAATGACCACCCACGCTGACCAGTGGCCACACTGTCGTGGTTCTATCTCCCCGACCCTCAGCTCCTCCCCTCTTTCCTTCCCTGCTTTCCCCTTCTCCTCCACCAGCCTCCCGGCAGTGTGGGACAATCCAGCTGATCCCTGTCCTGTGCTGAGCTGGGCCCAGCCGGAATTTGCTGTTGATCCCAGAAGAGGAGCAGCAAGGAGCAGTGGGCTTTCCATTCAGATTTTCCCAAGAAGCAGAACTTGAGTCAGGCTTGGAGCAGTGGAGGAAGGGGAAGAACACACTTTCTCTGCTCAGATGAACTCAGGAAGGTGACTTTGTCCTGCCACCACCATGTAGCACCCAGATTGGAAATTCTTGTGCAGCAAACCTAAGGAGCGCATTCTTGGCAGCTGACTGATGTGAGTCATGGCTCTGATTAATTCTTTTAAAGTTAAATTTTGGGTCTGAGGTTGGCTCATACTGCTGAGGACATCTGCCATGTGGGCGGGGGTAACTCAAAACTCAGCAAGCCAGGGTGCTGGCGTAAAAAAGATAGTGATGAATGCCCTTTGGGGCAAACACACATTGCGGAAGGTGGACTTAATGCACTGTTCTTGTTCAAGTTCATCCTGTTCAAGCCCATTACTGGACTTGCTTCTCTATACAAGTAAGTTTTTTAAACTCTGCATATTAAACAGAAAAATAGACACTACTATTTGAAACAATTGCTGACAGCTGCTTCTGCTCGCAAAAAGGGTATCATTTCTCTGTACAGAAATGTGCCCCCTTCCACTCCTAACCAGGGATGGTTGAGAAAGTGACAAGGAAGCAGAGAGAGCTAAACTTTCTGATAAGAAATCAATAGAAACTTTGGGGTCAAGTATGGAGAAGGGAAGAGCTTGAACACCAGTGAAATGGTGTTGGGGTAGAAGCTATGGAGAAACATGTCTAAAAAGATCCCAGTGTCTATAGCGGCTTAAGGACAACGAAACAGAAGTTTTTGTTTTATATTCAGTGGTTCTGTTTTTGTTTTATCAATTCAGAGACTGTAGACCCTCAAGTGACAGAGTGAAGTACCAGTGGGTTAGAATTGGGCTCTGGGTCACGTTGTCCAGTTGGAGACCCAGCTGTGCCAACTTGGGGGCTCTATAACTTTGAATAAGTTCCTTGACTTCTCAAAGCCTTACTATCTTTGCCTTGAAAATGGAAGTAATGGTATTTGTGAGGATTAAATAAGATTAGCTGTATAAAGCCCTTAACAGTGCTTGGCTCATAGTAAATACTTAGTAAGTGTCCGCGAGGGTGATGATGAAGATGAAGAAGAAAATGAATGTCATTGCAACAAGGAAAACCCAATAGCTGCAGCTGCGTTAGTCTCTCATCTGCCAGTATCTGTTATCAATTAGAGAAACCACAGAGAGGAAGTCTTAGTTAAACACTAGACTTAGGTGAATTAGTGTAGTGGTTCTCCAAGAGTGGTTCCTGGACCAGCAGCATCAGCATCGCCTGGGAACATGTTAGAAATGCAGGTTCTAAGCGCCCCACCCACCCCTCCCGGCCAGATCCACCGAATCAGAAGCTCTGAGTGTAGGCCCAGTAACCAGTATTCTAACAAGCCTTCCCGAGATTCTGATGCATGCTTTAAATTTGAGGACTATTGAATTGGTGAATGCCATTTTAGTGTCTTGCAAGAAAGGAGCCACACGGCTGGTGGATTAATTTTTTTTCATGCTTGTTCAAATGCGCGTATTGTGTAATCATCATAATTTCACTGTATACGATTATAAGTAAATACATAGTGGAATCAAGAATTATTCAGGCATGAAACACAGTACTTTAGTTTTCTAAAACTGATCTCACCTTGCTCTGGAGTCCCCATTCTCTGGGGGAAATTCTCTTTCAGTTTACCTCATCGGTTTGCTGATTAGGAGTTCTGACTTCTGTCGGACGTGTTTTTCCTCCTCCCCCACCCGCTTCCTCAGGTAGCATCTGGGTGTAAGAGGGAGCTGAGGCAGCCTCATGACGGCAGGGGCAATGTGTCTGCACATGCTCAGTGTCTTCCCACCACTCACAGATGTGACTCTGACCTGAAGCTCTGGGCTCTGGCTGCTCTCACCTGGCCTTTTGGTGTGTCATGCTGGCACCTGCTTCTTGAAACTGTGGTCCCTGTCACAGTGTCCCCCACTGCAGCCTTCTCATCCCAGTCCTACTGCCCAGATGCCCTTCGATCCTACTGACTTGGACAGCAGACAGGAGCCCAGACTGCTTCCAATCAGGGAGGAGGCAAAGGGGAGAAATGCTGTTAGTAAGAAAGGACAACAATTTATTTCCTAGCCATTCACTATACTTCTTTCCTTCCATTTTGTTTGTTTGTTTGTTTGTTTAGTTCTCTTTCTTTAATGAAAAGCCAAAAAAGGAAGACATCTGTCTTGAGATTTAATAAAAGCAGGTAATAGTCCGGGAGGCCTGCTTGATATAATTGCTTAAATAATCAATTCAAGATTCTTCCCAAGAACTCACGGTCTAGGGTATATGACAAGACACATCAGGAATTAAATTTCTTTTTACTTTAGATAGAACAGAAAAATTAGAACAAAAATTAAAGTCTCAGTAAATTTGGATTTTATAAAACCAGATCTTTCCTAATTATTGTAGGTCACACTCTCTTTCTCTTCACTGCCTTCTAGAATGTACGCTATATTGAAATTTTTCACTTATTTAGTACTTCTCATAGGGAGTGAAAGCTTATTATTTAATATTTCATTTTCTCTAGTCTTGCTTCTGCTCTATATGAGCTGTAAGCCACTGATGGACAATGATCGTAATAATCAAAGCTGGCAATAATTTGAGAGATTACTGTATACCAGGTATAATAGGCAGGATGGACTAGGTAATGCTGTATAACGAATGACCTCAAAATTCCTGTGGCTTAACACAACTAAAGCTTTTTTCCCTTGCTCAGTGTACCTGTTCATTGTGCTCTGCCCCTCACAGACTCCCAGGATCTAGATCAACAGATGCTCCATCATGACCTGTGTTCCCACGGTCTTCCCAGCAGAGCAAAGGGGACGTGGCAGTTTGCACACCATCCCTGATAACTTCAACAGTGCCATATCAGGTTTCCTCACGTCCCATTAGCCAAAGCAAGTCACCTGACTACACCTAACTTTAAATTGGAAAGGTACAGTTCTATCGTGTGCCTGAAAGGTGGAGAGCCAGAAATATTTGGGGAGTAGCACGAATGGTTACACAGGCGTTGTGTTCAGCTCTTGACTCGTGTTGTCTCCATCTTTACAACTTCATGATGGAGGAGCTGTATTAGTCTCGTTATTTTATAGTACAGGAAACCAAGGTCACACAATTTGTAAACGGTGGAGCAGGATTTCAAACTAGATATATTGGATCCCAACATCTGCGCTTATAACCAAAGGCTACGCTGCTTCTTCAAGAATAGAGTTTATTTTTATTGAGCTCACAGACTACTGAAGCACAAAATTTAAGTGTTTTATATGTTTTATCTCATTTAATCCTCACTGCAATGCTGTGAGGTGGCTTCAGTGATTGGCTCATGCTAAGGGGAACCAAAGCTTAGAGAAGTTATGATCTCACAAGGAAATGGACCTTTATCTAACTCCAAAGACAAGTCCCTTAATCTACACTATACTTCAGTGTTTCTCAGAGTGAATGTTTGCATGAGAAGCACTTGGGGTTCTTATCCAAATGCTGGACCCCATACTCACCTACCAAATCAACTACTGAATCCCAGTTGGGTTGAGAATGACAACTCCAATGCTCACTTGAGTTTGATGTCCACAGTCTTGTCATCACACTCACTCATGGGTGTCCCACTGCCCCAGGCAGAGCACCCTGCTTCTGGTATTGAGTCAGCAAATCAAAACCAAACAAGAGAATCCCAGCCCACCACCAGACCAAAAGAGATGATTATTTCTTTGCCATTTTGCCAACACTTACAGGAAAAGGTGAAGAAATGAATGCATTCGGCACCAGGTTCCTGGGCAAAATCCCTGCCATCAACATTTTTTAAGACTTAAGGCAATAAGGGAGGAAGAAAAGTTAAAATCAGTTCTCACAGAAATTAACTTGACACTTGTCATAATTACAGAACCTATTACTGACCTGAAGCAAAATCCAGAGACATTAAGATTCTGTGAGTATAGACAATGGGTCCTCTTCTCCCTCCACACCCCTTCATTAAATGTGAAGGCAGCTGAATTCTGCTGCTCTGAATACAGAAAGGGTGGGCCCATCCTTCACAGCTGTGCAAGTTAAGTGCACAATGAGGATCCCATTCACATAGCCTGTGATGTACCTGCTGTGAGGAGGCGTCACAGACGTGAGTCAAGGGGCCTGGCTTCTGAGTCAGTCTCTGGTCGACACCTCTCTAGCTGCTGTGGTTCGGGCATGCCTCTTAATCTTTCTGGACCTTTAAAATGTCACGATTTGGTGAGGCGCACTACCGTATATGGAGATATGACTGATTATCATGTTTAATGAATACTTTATATGCTCCAAGACCTACCTATCCTAGCACTTTTAAGTTACACAAATTTCAAAATAACCCTATGAAGTAGGTATTATCATTATCTCATTTTTATAGACGAGGAAACAAGCACAGCAAGGTTAAATGAGTTGTGCAAGGCAACCCAGCTACCTTGTCGTAGGAACAGAATTCAGAAGCAGGCACTCTGGCTCCCTCGCTAACTCTTAGCCCTTATATGCTATTGACTCTGTTCTATGATACCTGAAGGCAGCACGTATAAAAGTGAGCATCTAGAATGAACTAGCCCAATTTACTCAGGGCTGGCCAGACCACAGTCAGTGGTAGTGCTCAGCTCTGGGTGGTCTACGTTAAAGGAGGTGTAGACAAATTGGAAGTGATTCAGAGAAGGCCAGTTAGTACGGTAAGGGGGCTGGAGCCATCATCATTGATAAACTCACACTTACTTAGTGCCTGACGATATAAAGTACTTTACCTGGATGGCTTTATTTAAGCCTTTATAACAAGCGTATGGAGTAAGTCCTAAAATTATATCCCCATTTGATAGAAAAAGAAACTGAGGCACAGAGAGTTTAAATAATCTGCTCTCACACAGCTAATAAGTATCAGGGCCAGAGCACAAACCCTGGCAGTGTGAAACTAGTCTGTACTTTATACCAGCGCTCTACACGAATCACCGTGGGAGAGGGTAGGGGCAGAATGCTGATAAAGTGCTGACTCTGCTTTAGTAGATCTGCGGCGAGTCTGAGATCCTGCATTTCTCACAGCTCCCAGGTGATGCTGCTGGTCCACAGACCATACTTTGAGTAGCGAGGTTTTCAACCACTTTGCTTGACTGCCCCCCAGTGAGCAGTGACGGGAGGAACCAAGAGGGTTTAGCCTCCAGGCAGCTCAGTGGGG